TCATACCATCTTTGACAGAGAATTCCCCAGTGATATGGACGGACGCAGCAGCCCACTCAGATTATGCAGTAATTTTCGGTAACAAATGCTTCAGAGACACATGGCCAATAGAGACAGCAACTTTACCATCATTCAACACCACCTCCGCCCTCTTCGTGGTTTACCCAATAGTGACAGCAGCCCAACTATGGGTACACCTTTGAAAGGGACAAGCAGTAAAATTCTACTCAGAAAACGCAGCAATATGTCACATAATTAACAAGTGAAGGTCCTCAATCCTAACCATCATAAAGTTAGTCAGAAGACTAGTATAGTTGGCAGCCACACAGCACTTCCACTTCACGTGCGAACACATACCAGGCCACCAGAACACAGCAGCTGATGCCCTCTCACGTTCTAACTTACAGGTGTTCCATCAAGAACATCCCACAGCCGAGAAAACACCCTACAGACCACCGCTATTCCAGGAACTCATCCTGGACTAATTATACTCATGGCACATGGGAGAATGCTAGCACAATCAGCACTCTCAGCAAACAGCTCATACAATCGAACCTTAACCATATTCAACAGGTTCATTACAGAATACAAAGTCACTAACCTGTTGTCATTAGATACTATGGTGGCGTGTACATCTTTTTGCCACTCGCATCTAAAACTTGCACACAATACGTTAAAGCTATATCTCACAGGTATACAATATTATGTCATAAACACATACCCTAATCACAGGACTTTCATGTCTTCAAACCCCATAAAAAAACATTCTGAAAGGTATCCTACGATTAGAAGATCACAAACCCACAAAACGACAACCTGTTGACACTAACAAATTCCGAGCATTATCCGACACATGGGATACGTTTCCATTCGAAAACGAAACAAACAATACCTTAAAATTGCCATTTATCTAGCCTTCTACGGGTTTTTGCGACCAAATGAATTTATCGTAGAAAAGACCAGTCATACCAACAAAATGCTAAAAATGGCGGACCTGAACAAAATAGGGGACCACTATGTCCTGACACTTCGATAATCCAAATCAAATCAAACAGGGCCGCCCGATGACATACCCACATACCCCACAAGCAACAAGTGGTGCCCAGTGCAATTATTTGACCAACTTTATCCATACATAAGAGAACAGGCTAAAAACGCCCCTCTACTAAGCTTACAGGGTAGCCCTCTAACAAAATCCAAATTTACGGTCTACTTACGAAATCTCTTTACAAAAATAGGGTGCGACCCATCAGCTTTCACCGGTCATTCATTCCGCATAGGTGCAGCAACGGCTGCATCTAGTCAGAATGTCCCAGTACACATCATAAAAAGACTAGGATGATGGAAGTCATCCATATACAACAACCGGAAAAAGAACTTAGAAAAGCATTCAAGGACTTAGCCAAATAAGAAGCACATGTCAAACATGGGTACATATTAAAGATGTTTTGCTTATACCTTTTTGCCCTCTTTATTTACAGGCCTGCCCGTACATCGGTTTCGGCACACAACAACTGAATTTAGTTACTATCATGATCAACACTTATTCGGACAATTTCCCTGACCACAAATATATTATGTATATCTGCATGCACAGCAAGTTTAGCATGTTGTAACAGGGTGTAACAGGGTGTATCAATCTACATTCAGATTAAATCAGTACTTCCCATCTTCAATGCTAGTGACTAAATTGAACAGCAAAACAATCCAAAAGGTTGCAATTTCTGTGACCCAATACAGAGCTCTAAATAGAAAACTTAATCCCATATAATATATGCGATCTCTTAATGAACATCAATATCACATGTAAAACAAATTGTATGCGAACAGCATATTAATAGCAACAATATGCAATGTAGCTGAAAATAAAATGAACTGCAGTAAGTAAACAGTGGTAATCATAATATAAGTTTGTACTTGTAGGAAGTTATGCCTGTTAGAGAGACAAAGTCAGCCAATGCCTGAATGTCTCTGTGTGCTGTGGTACAGGCATTGTTGTAGGGCGTTCCCCATGGTGTTTCTGGATTCTACTCCTCCAGCTTGAGGTCTCATTCGGAACTTCGGCACTATGTCCACTGACCCTGTTTTTTAGGACTGCATCCCAAGTGTGAACCTGTAGAAGAGAAATCTCCCGGGTTTGTAAGTGGTACCCATGGTAATACCCCCTCCGAGTTTCCAGCCCGGAATGCAAGGAGCAGTCCGCAGCTTTCTCAGGGGACTTTTGCACATCATCAAGGTTGGCTTGTAAAGTGGATCCAATTCCAGAATTGTGCACACATGTGATCAAATGCTGAGCAGAAGGCCTCCCTCCATCCCTGTAGTGATCCCGTCAGTGATTCCTGTCACCATGTCTGACAGCTGGATCACAGCTAATCTTAAAGGGTCAGAGCTCTGCCAATGCTTCACACAAGGCACCTGGTAGGTAACTTCTTGACACCATGAGAACATGGCTGAAATCGATTTGGTACTGTTATGTACACGTTTTCGTAGCTTTAGGGCGAGTTAGAGGAGGGGCTTTTTTTTTAAATGAATATTAAGTTGATCCATCATTTCAAATATTTTAAATCTTGATGACAGTACATGTAATATGCATATTAACTTTTATGCTCTAGTATATATTTTCTGTGTTTGCTTTTCAATGATTTTTCTTTTCCCTTTTCTAGTTTACTTTTAAGAAATGTGATTAAATCCTATGCTATGATATATTCAATTGAAGAAATTAATAATTCCAGTCTCTTGCCTGGGCTTAAATTGGGTTATGCAATCTATGACTCGTGCTCTGATGTTTCCAAAGCTATTCAATCAACAATTAAACTAATTCCTGAGTTAAACTTACTGAACAAGCCTCCTGACTGCAGGACAAAAGTACAGCATTCTGTGAAAGCCATAATAGGAGAAATGAATTCAGAAATTTCAATTGCAATTTCACGGATTCTCAGTCTTCATTCCATACCTCAGGTAAAAGACTATTTTTTTATATTGTTTAATTTTATATATACAGTAGTCCCCAATCATACTAGAACTCTGGGTCTTAGAAAATCATTTAGTCAATGTTTCAATTCAGCTTGTGAACTATCCTCAGGACATTCTCAAATTCCAAGGTGAAATGTATCTAAATTACGGGTGCAACCATGCAATGCTAAACATTGTCACTGTGATTATGAAATCCTCTTGTGGTGCCAAAAAGAGGTGATTGATGGGAAATAAAAATGAATGATGACTCTGGGAAAGCCACTAAATGTTGAGAAGTGACCAATGGAGGGGAAAAGGAGGAGCATAAAAAAATAATAAAATACCTCTGTATATTATATATTTAATAAATGTATAATGTAGAAATAGAGAGAGCTTATTTTATTGCCATGAAGGAGTATACATGGACTTCAACAATCACTAGGTAGGTGATATGTGTTAAAGTAACATCCGCATGAATGCCAGGACCCAAGGTTTCCCAACAGAACATTGCACAGAGCAGAACGCTAACTCTTATCTCTTGTACATTTTAACTGCTTCCAAAACATGAAATTCAATAACTGAGTCTTCACTTGCTGCCTAATATATCCCACCCCTTGACAGGTGCTATTTTAGTGATATAACAATGTTACTCATTTCACCTGTCAGTTGTTTTGTTTGTTGCTGACCAGTGTATACCAAGCTCCTGTAGGCAAAGAATTCTCAAGCGCACAGCCCCCCTTCCAAACTAAATGGAAAAAAAAACCTGACCAAGAAAACTTCAGCGCACATCCCACCAAAAATAGTGACCAGACTGACTGATGGCCTGCCCCCTTTAGGAAAGACCATTCACAGAGTGCTGCTAAAGTGCTCTAGTGCCCAGACCAAATCTGTGTTTTGAAATTGGCTGGCAGAATTCAAAATAGGCAGGTCCCTCTGACCTATTTTTTTTTTTTTTTTACATATTCCCAAAACGTGGAACTGACACTGAAAATTAGAGACTGTTGGCACCTAGGGATTGCTGTGTTCTGAGAAGACAACGCATTGCAGTGAATAGCTGCCTCAGACTCTGGGAGGTGTTTTACTGTCTGTGAAGATAGCAAAACACTGGTGGCCATGGAGTTGTGCCTATAATTGCGATACACCTATAGGCAGGTACCTACTCTGCCTATGGGAATTCCAGCTCTGAATTCATAGTAAATAACCCACACAAGGATATTTATGTATAGATAAATATAGATAGGTATGTGGTACAGGTAAAATCTGTCTTTTATGGAGGGCACATAACCAAGAACATTGTATTATGGGAAAATAATGATTAAATGTCTACAGGACTTCAAAATGATATTATTTCCCCTAAAGATGCTTCAGCATCATGTATTAAATTTTTTTGCATTACATGAATTTGGTTTTTTTAATATTAGTGTTAGTGCTAGGTTTAGTTCTGTTTTTAATTTAGAGAACACAGGCACATACAATCAACAAGCATGAGATTAGTAGAAACTGCAATCCCGGAAAGCAATTGCTATTAGAGTTGAGCGAACCTGGATATGCCTGATGTTGAAGTTAGGAGTCACAGTGTGGATTGGATTAGCAGGGTCTGGTGCAGGGTAACCGCACGCCCCCTGGTGTTGAGCACCAGTGTTTGTGCGACCACATACCAGGACCCTGATGCAGCTTCAGTAAAAAGAGTACTGGATAGCAGAAGCCATCACCAGACTGATCCGCAACTTGGAACAGGATGTGACATTCACTGTAGCGGCTCTGCGTGCTTTTGGCGTTCTCACCCTGTTGCTGCTCACCTGTCTGTGCTTCAGCGTAACTTTGGCCTTCCCGCTCACCGCTTCATATGCGATGTGCCCACAAAGTGGAAATCCACCTTGCACATGCTGGAGAGACTGTGCGAGCAGCAGGCGATAGTGGAGTTTCAGCTGCAGCACGCACGGGTCAGTCGCTCTGCACCAGACTTGCCCTCCAATTGATCATAGTTAAAGGATTTCAGACGGACTCATTACAATTGTGGGGCCTCTAAAGAGTCCTGTATTGTTATTTGTCGTCACTACCTCCCCGCGTCGGGAGTGGGTCATTTGCGCGCCTGCTGCCTTCCTTGGATGTAGTAGCCGTTTCTCAGGCTCCCTCTCCGGAATCAAACCTTGATTCCCCGTTACCCATGGTCACCATGGTAGGCGCAGAAAGTGGCATTGAAAGTTGATAGGGCAGACATCCAAATGCAAAGTCGTCGTCACGGGGACGTGCGATTGGCCCGAGGTTCTCTGGAGTCACCAAAGTGCCTGCGCAACTATAATGTCGACAGCTACTCTGCCGAACGGATCTTCACTAATAGGTAGGGGATGGAGTGGGGCCCTGGCCAGTAGTGCCCAATAAAAAAAAAAAAACAACTAAAAAACAGTGTTGGCTCCCTCCTCCACCACCGCTTCCACCTACACCGCCACGGTCACCGCCTCCTCAACCTATAGGTCACTTAGTATAAACTATGTACACAATAGCAGAGGCTTGTGAAGGCCTTTTCTCCATGCATCAGGAGTTGAGCATTTCTCCATGCATCAGGACTGCAAGAAATGCACCGCAGGCCGCAAATGTTTCTTTTTTTATGTCCCAATATTTTGGGGGCTACCCCAATTAAAAACAAAACAAAAAACAAATAAAAAACAGTGTTGGCTACCTCCTCCTCCCCACCGCCGCTTCCACCTACACCGCCACGGTCACCGCCTCCTCAACCTATGGGTCACTTAGTATAAACTATGTATACAATAGCAGAGGCTTGTGAAGGCCTTTTCTCCATGCATCAGGAGTTGAGCTCAGTTTGAACAATGAAAGAGAATAGCACTCCAACCCTCTCTCAAATGGATAATTCTGGTGATCCACCTGACAGCTATGCTTTAGATTTTGATTTATGTTCTTCCAAAGCTAAAATCAAAGATTCCATCTAGTGCTATTTTATGGCTCAGATGTATTTTTATTTTTTATGTATTATATGTTATTTTAAGTGATTTCCCAATCCACATTTGTTTGCAGGGCACTTGATCTACCCCCATTTTACTTCCTTTTGCAGCCCTCTAGCCCTTTCCAGGACTTTTTTAGAGCCATGTTTGTGCCCAAAAGTTCGGGTCCCCATTGACTTTAATAGAGTTTAGGGTCAAGTTTGGGGTCAAGTTCGAGCCCGAACCCGGTCCTTTTTCCAAAGTTCGGGCGAACCCGCCGGACCCGAACATCCAGGTGTCTGCTCAACTCTAATTGCTATCCTTAAAAGAATACTCCAGAGTAACAACTAATCATCCTCTAAAAAGATTTAGCTTACTTCTAATGCAGTGTCAAGAGGGTCTCTCCCCCAGCTCCACTTCACCTCCTGGAGATCATAACTATGATGATCTCATGGACAATTCATTGTGTCTCACGGAAAAGATGTTATGATTTTATTTAAATGTTTCTTTCATTTGCATAAAGGCTGAACTAATTATGTTCAGAATGTTTGGGATTTTTAAACTCATATTCTGATTATTGATCCCTCACACTGGCTTTGCATGTCAAATGCTGGACATTGTAAAAGAAAGGGCTGTCATGAGTTTACTGCATCATGGGTTGGAGTCAGACTTCTTTAAAGTGTCCCAAATAAGTTTATCTTTAGGATCATGATTTTGAATAGGGCATAACATGTCATTGTTTGGGGGGTTGAAAAGATGGGATTAAGTGGGCAGAGACCAATAAATCAGGGGGCAGCACCTCACCATCCCTAATTTTCTCCACCCACTTTTGAAAAAATCAATATTTATTTGCAAGAGCTGAACCTGTAACAAGCAAATGAAGAAACTTAAAAGCACTGCAAAAAACTGTATACATATTTAGAGATCCATGTCATAGATACATAACCAAGTCATATATTCTTGCATGAAACACATTGGATATGCTACTGGTTACTAGATGTGTACATTTACTTTTGTCCAAATTGCTATTCATCTAAAATTTAGTCTGGTTGTTTTGGCAGAAATCTGTTTCTTGCACTCCCATATGGAAGTACAAATGAACAATGTTAGAAGTGACCAAAGTGGAGAAATAAGGAGGAGCAGTATAAAAATCTATATAAATGTATATATTTAATAAATATATTTTACATATATTTATAGGCATTTATTTTATACATATATAGGCATTTATCTTTTCTCCTCCTCCTGTTTTTCCCTCTTTTGGTTACTTTTATTTACTTGATCTGTGAGCCAAACGGCTAAAAAATGTGCCTATCAATGTACTGAAAAATATATACATAATATTTATATTTTAAACAATACAAAGGAGGAGAAAAGGTTGCACCAAAATAAATAAACAATATAAACAATATATTGGGAAAAGTAATGAAAAAAGATTTAAAAAAAAAAACAATGTATGATTAATACAGTAAAAAAAGTAACAATAAAAGGTCCAACAAAAGTCCCTATGAAACTTGCCAAAAGATATAGCCTCAGTTTTGTCAGGAAAAGTTCTTCTAAAACACTGTTAGATCAGGGTATTCATTGAATCTGTATATAAAAGCAAAGAAAAAGTCTAACAGTGCAATGTATGCCAGAAGTAGATAATATCAGTAATATTCCTCCATGTTCTAATATTCCGTGTTTTCCCTAATATTTTTCATGGACAATATTCAAACAAGCCTTACCGTTAATGGAATGAGTCTTGGAGGTCCTGAACTGAACTAAATTTTCAGAAAAATGGTCTGGATCAAATTTTCTTTTAATGTTCTAATGTTCCAAGCCTACTGGTGACAATGAGTTGTATCTGGATGAAACTTGCATGGAGAGGGCCTAGAAACACTTTTACACTTTCTCCATGAGTGTATGCAAATTGTTGGCATGTTACCTAATCGAGCATTCTAAAAAAAAGTATAATTTCTTTTATAGAAGACAATTTTTTATTTTTTTTTATGCTGCAGAGCTCAGAGGAGAATAAGGGTTGATTATGACCTGTTTCTCATTACTTTTAAATGCATGTAGGACAATAGTACTACATGGTGACTTATTGTAGACCACCAAGTGTCCGTTATTCTAAAATCATACTTGTAAAATATAGTGGTTGTATAATACTATTACAATTCTAATGCAATGAAAAATATATTTATCTAGACATCGTATTGATAATCTTTTTTTTATATGTTTGAAAAATTTACCAAATCATTATTTATTGTTATTTATGTAGATTAGTCCAGCATCATCTGCTCCAAATTTCAGTGATAAATTGAGATTCCCTTCATTTCTTCGAACTGTTCCCAGTGATACCTTCCAAACACAAGCAATTGCTAAAATTATCAGAAAATTTGGATGGAACTGGGTAGGGATAATTGCAAGTGACGATGCATATGGATATTCTGCACTTGACCTTTTAAACACATTTTTTAAAGAGGAAGGAATATGTCTGGCATTCACAAAAACCATTCCACCAAATGCAGAACACCCTTTAATGCAAATTGAAATACACAGTATAATACAAGAATTGAAGAACTGTTCTGCAAACGTTGTTGTTATTTTTGCAAGTGGACTTTCCGTCATTAAGATTTTTAATGAATCAATCAGACTCAACATATCCAGAATCTGGATAGCAAGTGATATCTGGTCTATGTCAAGAGAAGTTGCAAATATTCCAAATATTGACAAGGTTGGTACTATACTTGGATTAAATTTCCATGCACGTATTATTTCAGGGTTTAAAGATTATCTACAAAACCTTCACCCTTCTGGAGATGGTGAAAAAAATCTGATTCATGAAGAATATAAAAATTATCGATTTGGATGCACAAAAGAATACAGTGAATACTTGGAATGTATCAATAAATCACTCGGCTACTGTTTTACTTCAAATTCTATAACACATAAATCACCTCTGACATGCAAAAATGATGATAATATAATGCTAGCAAATGATGACTATTTGGTGCAAAATATTGAATGGAGTACAACATTCAGCACGTCTTTGGCTGTAAAATCCATAGCATATGCACTAAAAAATCTGTTGTGCAAAAATGAAATATGCACAAAAAATTCCAGCGTTTCACCACTGGAGGTAAGAAAATCTTTAATATAAATATAAACGTAAGCATATATAGATGTCTTGGTTGATAGTTGTTCAGTGTTTATGTGTACTTATGCAGAAACATACATTTGTATTTTAATATTAAGCAATTTTGCATAATTCTGGCAAATTCTGGCATCTTGCTTTTGACCCACTCCTTTTAAAGTACCAAAAACAGTCAACATTACTTTGCTTTACAAAGGATTTTATTCACTAAAGACTCTTTTATTGCAAGCTGGTAAAATAATTGGTGCACAAGATCTAATTCAAACCCCTGTGTCACCTGGATTTTCAGCAATGTCATATGTGGCTTTTAGCACTCCAAGGTTGAAGATTAGAGAAATAATGCTATTATATATTTAACAGATGTCCATTTCATTAAAATCGATAAGCATTAACCCTTAAGGACAAAATGTCTGGAATAAAAGGGAATCATGACATGTCACATATGTCATGTGTCCTTAAGGGGTTAAAGGGACACTATAGTCACCAAAACAACTTTAGCTTAATGAAACAGTTTTTGTGTATAGATCATGCCAGTGCAGTCTCACTGCTCAATTCCCTACCATTTTGGAGTTGAATCACTTTGTTTATGCACCCTAGTCATACCTCCCTGCATGTGACTTGCACAGCCTTCCTAAACACTTACTGTAATAAGTCATTTAATGTTTATACTTCCTTTATTGCAAATTCTGTTTAACCCCTTAAGGACACATGACATGTGTGACATGTCATGATCACCTTTTATTCCAGGAGTTTGGTCCTTAAGGGGTTAATTTTGAATTTTGTATCTCTTGCACTGTTAATAGCCTGCAGGAGCCTCCTGTGTGTGATTAAAGTTTTAAATTTAGAGCGCAGGACATACAAACTTTGTAAAGTAAGTTACATTTGACTGAAAGTGAAACCATTTTTTCATGCATGCTGTGTGAGTCACAGCCAGGGGAGATGTGGCCAGGGCTGCATGTACAGAAACAAAAGTGATTTAACTCTTAAATGGTATTGAATTGAGTAGTGAAACTTCATAGGCATGATCTATAGACCATAAGCTAAAGTTGTTTTGGTGACTATAGTGTCAAGTAGAAAAGGTTTCTGGGCTTCTGGAATTCTCAAGCCGTGGGTGTGCAGTACTATATGTTCTCCAGTGGGTTTTTGAGTCATTATTGGCAAAGCCTTCTTTGCATATTTCTTTCTATTTGTGCAATTATGTTTGTGAGTGTATTTTTACCTTTTTAGTGTGCATCTGAATAAATGAACTATACCATGATCTCTTTCCCCTTTCTTTTTCTTGTTTGAGATTACTGAAGATATATAGGAATAAGAACTTCATCATGTCATGCTTTATCGATAATTATACCTATTTTGTACGTATACA